GGCTGGCATGTGGTGCTGGGGATCGAACCGCGGTCCCTGTGCTTCGCCAAGCTTGTTTCAAGTAGGTGCTTTAGACCACTGAGCCATCTCTCCAGCCCTAGTTACAGTTTTTGTCAGTAAAAAAGGACTTTGGGTAGGAAAGAGTTTTTAAGTTGAGAATCTTTTGTAGCCAGATGCAGTGGTACATACCTGGAATCTTATCATTCTAGGAGGCTGAGGCAGGAAGATCACAAGTTCAAGCTGGGGATATAGCTTTGTGCAAAGGCCGTGGGCTCAATCGCCAGTGCTGCAAAAAATAATTTAATTAAATTAAAAAATAGACTTAAGAAAATGAAGGTGGGTGCTTCCAGGAAACCCAGCAGAGGCAGACCTTCCCAAGCTTTATGCTCCCTTGCATAAAGGTCGTGACGTCACTACTGGATTAGGTATAAGACAACTATAAATGCCCTTGGAGTGGCTTGTGGGAATCTGGAAGATTCAGTGAGGAGTCTCTGGCACAGCGTGTGGCCTTGCCTCTCACGCTCCTGGCAGGCAGTGGAGCTGGAAGTGGGACTCACAGAAACCTGTGCAGCTGAGCCACACCCGCACTCCTAAGGACAGGCCCAGCCCTGCAGACCAGCACGCAGTGGGCAGTGGTGAGCGGGTCAAGCACGTTAACAACATGCCCCCCACTCTCAATACTACATAGCAGCCCACGGACATGTGTGACTTACAGGTTTTTGTGTATCAGTTAAAAAATAACTTACTGTCAACGACTTCTGGGGATAACCCACCACTATTGTGGACTGCTGGACTGTGCTGGATTGTTTTGCTGAATTCACGCACCTATAGTATTTAGATGCCAGTGGAATACCCACTTCTGACAGGACCAAACAAAGGCGATACAAAGGGAGGACCATTTTGTATCTGTATATGCAGAATAGTTAGGATAGATATACAGCTACTTTTGCTTATTTCAGTGAGAAAAAAGATTTGTACTAATAGTGTTTGGGCAGGATATCCTGTCTGCATCTTGTACTATGGATAACCACTAAGAAGATAACAATGTACAGTGTATTAATTATTGAAACTGTCCTATTAATCAGTTTTGAAACTGTCTCATTGACATTTGTTTCTCAATAAAATAAATAAAACTAAAAATAACTTAGTAGAAGTTAATTTAGCAGGTTGTTTTTTTTTTAAATTTATTTCTTTTTTTTTTCTGGTACTGGGGATTGACCTTGCACTTGCCAGGCAGGTGCTTAGGCCACTGAGCTATATCTCCACCCCAACTCAGCTGTTTAAAAAGCCTTTTAGTTTTAAAAAGCAAAAAAAAAAAAAAAAGCCAGAACCAACAAATCCCTTGCTTCACCCAGTCTTCTGGGTCAGCTGGTCAGTCCCCAGTTGTCCTTGGTGGTGCTAGAGGGCTCTGAGAGGCCTGCAGGACAGCTCCTTAGAGGACAGCTGAACACCTCACCAAACTCCCCCCATCCCAGGAGATGTCACTGTGACAGCTCTCTTCTTTAAAATTATCTCTGCCTTCACGGTTCATAAAGTGCAATTGCCGAGTGTTGGGCATAGCATCAGCTAGGATTTGCACCTCTAGGAAAATAATTCCCCAGTATTTACTTCTATTAGTGAAACAGAGTTGAAAGACCTACATTATTTATGTTCTGTTGGTCTCTTCCATAGAGCACTCTTAAAAGATCTCTTAGAGATCTCTGAAGCTGCGCAGCCTTGCTTCTAGGGCTGACCTGCGGTCTCTCAGGTGTCTCCAGTGTCTCAGCGAAGCAAACTCAGAGTCAGATCCGTCCCTAAGACAGGTCAATTGGCAAAGAGACGTGTGGGTCCCCTCTGTCCAGACAGACGGAGAATTAGAGCAAATACAGTTCTGTTACCATTTGTATGAGCTCATTTGTAGATCTTCCCATTCTTTCAAATCATAATTCCTCCCTAAAAAAAAAAAAAAAAAGGATTTTCCTGTTGTAGTGTCCTTCAGTGGCTTTTGGTTTCATCACACAATATCCACCACTGTAAGGTCTACTTGGAATAGATTGGCTATGTCATTATCATAAAGAAATTGTAGAGGCTTTGGGAATCGCCCAGAGGAGAAAAAGACAAGAAAGAACTTCAGGGGAAAATAATCAACTATTTGATCTTGTTGTGAGAAACCCACATATATTCCTAGCAGAAGAGATGATGATTGGATTCTAGCTTTTAGAATCCACCTATGGACAGAACAGGAAGGACTTCATTGTTAAAATAGAAGAAACTGGTAATATTTTTCCCAAGGTAAAAAGAGGAAGCAAAGCTGGCTGTGTTTGAGTGGTGAGAGCCGGCTGCAAGACAGGGCCATCGCTGCCCCCTCTAGGATGGGCGCGGCAGGGCAGCGCAGTCCCCAGCTGCGGACAGCGAAGGGGAAGTGTGAGCAAGCAGCTGGCAGTGGACGCCCAGGTGGCCTCTGTGGCTGGGCTGGCAGGCAGCTCAGGCTTGGGAGATGCCTTTCCTTTTAAGCCCTTCTATATTTCTTGATTTTTTTTAAGTATATAAATATATTAACTTCAATCCACTTAACCATTTTAAAGCAAGAAATTTACACTCCATAGTTTAAGCAATGGCAGTGTCATAGAAAGATGGACTCTGACCAGCTCCTGACTCAGTGTGTTGAATTAATTGAGTTATAAAAGCTGAAAGCATTTAGAAGCAATAATTACCAGACTGGAATGAAGATCTCCAGTGTGTTTCATAAGATTTGGTAGCATCTCCTTTAAAGAAAACTCACAGTGGATACAGCTGTTTAGAAATGAAATGAATTCGGAATGTGTGATGTTGAAGACACATTTTTTGTTCCTGAAGATAAAGCTTGTGTTTCCTTGGTTTTCCTCCTCCTTCCTACTACATTTCTCTCTTCCCTTCCTCATCTTCCAGAAGCCCTGCAGAGGCCAGTGGCATCTGACTTCGAGCCCCAAGGTCTGAGTGAAGCTGCTCGTTGGAACTCCAAGGAAAACCTCCTCGCCGGGCCCAGTGAAAATGACCCCAACCTTTTCGTTGCACTGTATGACTTCGTGGCCAGTGGCGACAACACTCTAAGCATCACTAAAGGTAAGGGGGCTCCGGGCAGCTGGTGGGACTGAAATGTAGACGTCGGGAGCTGCGCCCCAACTGGCCTCCCCTTGGCTGGTCACAGGGGCAGCTTCCAGTTACTCCTGGGGAGGAGGGAGACAGGTCTTGCTGTGCAGTTCAGGCCAGCCTTGAGCTCACTTCAGGTTCTCGGGATTCTCCTGCTCTGGCCTCCCAAGTGCTGGGGTTTTGGGTGTGTGCCTCTGTGCCTGGCTCAGCTTTCCAGTTTCGAGTGTGGAGGGGCCCCCAAACAGCAACCTCTTCCCAAGAGAGCCCCTTCTAAGGAAGGCTGTGATCCGGCTCCCATTTCAATACTAAAGTGGACACACGGACCAAACGCTAAAATTTGACTTTTCCCTTTAGAGAAACCATTTTCTCCCAGACACTTTCCTTAGGTAGAAAAAGAGCACTTGAAAAAAAAAAGGCTTAATCTGTACATTTGGTACAAACAGGAAGCCTCGTGTGTATAAGTACACATTCTTATAGGCGTGGTGTGTGTATTTACGTGGACTTGTTAAAACAAAACCAGCATGTGGAACTTGGAGTGTGGTGGTGATCACCCAGAAGTGCACAGAGAGAAGGAAGCTGGTCCCTAAGGCCTGATGTCTAATCTGGCTCTTTGTCTCCAAGGTGAAAAGCTCCGGGTCCTGGGCTACAACCACAATGGGGAATGGTGTGAAGCCCAAACCAAGAATGGCCAGGGATGGGTTCCAAGCAACTACATCACGCCAGTTAACAGCCTGGAGAAGCATTCCTGGTACCACGGGCCTGTGTCCCGCAACGCCGCCGAGTACCTGCTGAGCAGCGGGATCAACGGCAGCTTCCTGGTGCGGGAGAGCGAGAGCAGCCCCGGCCAGCGCTCCATCTCCCTGCGCTACGAGGGCCGGGTGTACCACTACCGGATCAACACTGCCTCGGACGGCAAGGTGTGCACCAGGCCTGCTGAGGTGGGCGGGCGGTGGTCAGTCCTCTGCCAGGAGATCCGAGAGCTTCTGCCTGGTTGTAGTTGCTGCGCAAAGCTCCTGCAGGGTGCTTCAGTAATTGCTGAAGGAAACCACTGGTATCTGTTCGTGGCCTTAGGCAGACCCTCTGATTGACATGGGAATCTGTGGAGCTGATTTCCTGCTGAGGTTCGGTAGTGTCTTAACATAGAAGGGCTTTTTGTTGCGGTTCAGCTACTTCTTAAGACTCTCCCTGCTGGGTGTGGTGGTGCACACCTGTCATCTCAGCACTTGGGAGGCTGAGGCAGGAGGATAACAGGTTCAAGCCCAGCCTGGGCTACAAAGATAGTTCAAAGCCAGCCTGAACTACATAGGGAGACCCTGTCTCAAAAAAAAAAAAAAAAAAAGAATAACTTCCATTTTAAAACATCTTTTATAATACTTTATCCTCAATTTTAAAAAATGAAGGTAAATGAACACATTGATATGATGGCACCTCCTGCATAAGTTCAGCCTGTGGCTTTCCTGTGGATGAAATCACACTTTGAGGGGGTGTGTGTAGGCGTGTGCAAGCTTACACAGTTTTTGGGTTTTTTGGGTTTTTTTTTTGGTGGAACTGGGGATTTGACTCAGACCCTTGCGCTTGCCAAGCAAGCATTTATTCTACTGAGCCATCCCCCCAGCCCAACCCTCTTTAAATGCAAGTGGCATACAATACCCTAATACCTCCAAACCCACTTGGTTCTGTAAGGGAGTCAGCATGTAGGATCTGTGGTCGCTCTGTAAACAGCCCTTAGAAGTCCCTGGAGGCAGGAGAGGCGCCCGTGTTCCCTGAGTCCTGTGGCTCGTAGGTGCGCACCTGGCCACCCGTCTTTCGGCCTCCCCTGGTCCTCTGCAAGATATTGATGTCATCTGCATTTGTGCGTGAAGCATGCTGCCCGAGATCGCAAAGGGAGTCACGGGTGAGCAGGCTGGGACCCTGCTGTCCACTCCACTGCTCCAGGGCTCCAGTGAAGGGCAGCACAGATAGGCAGCAGCACAGTAGTCCGGCCAACACATGCATTTTAAAATAATGCATAATGTATACTTGTGCTCTTAAAAAAAACAATAGGACAGGGCCGGCAAGATAGCTCAGTGGACTGAGCACCTGCATAGCAAGCATAGGGCCGCCACATGCCACTCCGGCCCCACCCCCAGCTGCACTGAGCCAGCGACTGAGTCTGCGCGTGGTGGCCCACGCCTGTAATCCCAGTGCTGAGGAGGCTGAAAGCAGAAGGATCACTACGAGTTGAGCTGCGTAGTAAGACCCTGCACACACACACACACACAAAAAGCAGTAGGACAAAGCAAATCATGTCCAGAGTAGTCTACTCGTAACTCAGTTCTGCCCAGTGGCAGCCACTGTCCCCAGTGAATTTCTCCTAGCTGTTGCTCCCCTTGGCACCTGCCCTGTCGTTTGGGAGCGCACTGCTCCGCTGCTCTGTGTGCAGTGCAGACGCGTGTGAGAGGAGTTGCTAGCGCTGACTCCGCTGTCCACGCCTGTGTGAATATTGGAGGTCTTCCCCTCAGACACTGTACACGTCTGATGTCTCACAGACAACATACGACAGTGCCTGTTTCCCTGTGCCCGTCTCAGCAATGTCATCTGACTTGTCGGGACATCTTTGTCACTCTGATTGGTAAGGAAGCTTATCTCGCCACTTACTGAATTCATCTTTTCCTACGTATAGAAACAGGCCGTACTTACAGAGGTATTCGGGCCTGGCGGTCCCCTGCTTGCTCGCCTTGCTCCTCTGTTTGCCCACAGGCCAGGGCTGGTTGGCACGGGGTGCCCCGCGGTGTGTTCTGGTGCCTGCGGGCCGAGGCTCCCTTCTTCTCTGTAGCATTTTCCTGGCTGGCTCCATATATTTGCGTGTGCTGCGCAGACCCGTGCAGGCCTCTCCGAAGCCCCAGGGGCATCTCTGGCTCTGCACCCTCGCAAGCATCCACAATGCGCCATTGTGGTGTGTGCACAGCACGGCCTGCTGTGGAAGCCTGATGAGAGGGGTCCCCGTGGCCTGCAGTCTGGGTCGTTCTCCAGGCGTGGAGCCAGGTCTCTTCTTCTGTGGGACAACACTGGGGCGGCAGTGCTTTGAAAGTCTTTTCTACTGCAAAGTGCCTCTCCGGTCACACAGTCACAAGGGTGCACCCCATTTGCGAGCCGACAGCCTGCTTCCATTCTGTGCCCGTTGCGTGGCAAGTCGGGCTGCACCAGGAGAATCGCTGGAGGCTCACACTCACACTGAACAGGATAATGGTGTCTCTTCCCTGGAGTTGTTGAATCAGCAGTCATGGGACAGATGCAGGCAGGCATGACCCAGTTTGATAACTCCTAGCAGGGGTTGATCCGCAATGCTGTGCAGAGGGGGAAGGAAAGGACCATGTATGGGATGCATGTTTGAGATTCATCTGCAGAAGCAGCAGGTGGGGTGCCGAGGCGCACGGCTGTCATCGCAGTACTCCAGGAGGGTGAGGCAGGAGGATCATGAGTTGGAGCTCAGCCTGGGCAATTCAGCAACATGGTGAGACCATGTCTTAAACAAAATGAAAACGGCTAGGGAAGTTGCTCACCACAAAAGCATGGAAGCAGTTCCCAAACCATCTGGGGACAGAAGGGAGGGTGGAAGGGGGTGGGACAGCGGGGGAAAAAGGAAAGCCAACCCCTGTGTCCAAGAGGGTCCCTCCATGTGTGCACGGGGCTCACTGGGTCAACAGCCCCCATCATGCTTTCCCAGGCATTTGGCCTGCCTGCCACTCCCTGACAGGGATGCCCCTCAGCCATATAAGTACCTGGGGACTCCTGCCCTCCTGGGCTGCTCCTGTTGGGAAAGGCCATGCTGTTGGGCTGCGTTAGGTGGGATCCTAGACCTGGAATGAGGGAACAGTGTCAGGATGGGGCGGAGCTGCAGCTCCGCGTGCTCTGTAGGGCTCCACACTGAAGAATGTGTCTTACATGGCAGAGTTTTGATGCAATCCCATTTGGATTTCTAAGGGTAAAAATTAAGATTGCTGAGAGGGGCAGGCTGGGCTTGACTTGACTAAGCTTGCTTCTTATTTTCAAATCAGCTAAGCTTTAGAAAACAAGTCAGTGGGGAAGATTCTTCTGCTGCGTCCCCAATGATTACATTCTGCCTCCACCCTCCCAGCTCTCATTTCTCTCTCTTGTTCTGAGCTTTTCAGCAGTGGTCATGGGCCACCAGTGTAGGACCCATGCTGGGACCTTTGAGCTGGGCTTTTGAAAGGGCTGAGGTCAGACTGAGCCTTTGCCATTTGCTAGCAGTCTGGTGCAGAGATGAGAAGGCTTCCCATACCTGGGACGTGGTTGTCTCCCTGTGCTTTCCCTACTGTTGCAGAATTAGGGCTGACACCCCAGCACCCGCCTGACTGTCCATCTGCGACTCGCCCATCTCTGCAAGGTACTGCCGCCAAGCCCCCAGTCCCTGAGCACGTTTCGGTGTGGTCAGCATTCCTGGTGCGCAGGGCACGGTGCCCAACATGCCCTGCTTACAGGCCGTGAGGTCTGACTTGGCTCATGGTTTCAGAGGCTGCAGTCTGTATTTGGCTGGCTGCATGGAAACATCATGGCAGAAGGGCCCAGAGGAGCAACTCTGCTCAGTCCTTGGCTACTGGGAAGCAGGCCTTGGGCCATAAGGGTTGCACCCCAGAGACCCCAGGTGCGTTCAGCTTGACCTGGATGAACCTGCATATCGGCACAGCACCCCCATGATCCAGTGCCCCTCTTGGTACCTCTTTGTCCATCAAGTGGGCCGCCAAGATTCACCGTCAGCCTGCCTGTCTTTCCTTTTCTCACGAGGTGCCTGCTGGACATTTATTTTCTCATTGTACTGAAGTGACAGGTGCAGGTTGACAAGAGCAGAAGCTGGGCATAGGCTTTGGCCAAGGTGACAAGAAGGGCTGGGTGGGTGGGTGGAGCCTCTTGAATTTCTGAAGTTCACCCCACCCTCAGAGTGGCCCCAGGCACAGGCATGCTAGCTAACAGAAGCACCTGTAGTCCAGTGTGTGGTCCCCCACCCGCCCCCGGTCTCTGAGCAGCTCAGGGTCCCCTCGCTTCTAGGCCAGCCTCCATGAGCAGCGTGTCAGACGTGGCACTCGGGCTGCAGAGCCAGAGCACATGAGCGTGAGTCCACTTGGTGTGGGCTTGGGGCCATGGGCAGGAGAGCCACTCCTGGAGTTTGACAGGTGAGGCGGCAGCGGCCCTGGCCAAGCACCTTGCTTGATGGAACTGGGCACATTGCACAGTGAGGTGCCACCAGTCACAGCGCTAACTTCACTGTCCTTTGAGCACCACCACCCTGTTGTTCATAGTAAAATGTTCCTCAAAACTAGAGCTAATCATCAGAGTAGACAGTAGGAGAAATGTGGGGAGGATGATTGGAGTGTGCAGTGCGCTTGAGGGAGGGTGGGCTTTATAGGGTCTCACTGTGTAGCTCCGGCTGGCCTTACACTCGCTGCACAGCCCAGGCTGGCCTTCAGATACAGCGATCCTCCTGCCTCAGCCTCTGGAATGCTAGGATTACAGGTGTGTGCTGCTGTGAGCAGCAGAATTTTTTTTTTAAGTGTATTTGGTACAGGGTCTCACTACACAGCTAGGACTCGTGGTGATCCTCCTGTTTTCAGCCTCCACAGTGCTGGGATAACAGGCGTGTGCCACCACGGCCAGTCTCGGTGGCCAGCTCAGTGCTTCAGGGGCGGAGCCAGTGCGGCACGTGGTGCTGGGATGGAACCCTGGTCCCTGTGCATGCCTAAGCAGGCACTTAGTTCGCTGAGCTATCTCACCAGCCCAGGAATTTTCTAGTAGACTTTTTTTAAAATTAGTATGTGTTTGAGATACATAAGGAATATTCTTCATAGAATATATATATGAAATCTTAAGTCCTTTTTACTTCCTATCTTTAAAAGGTTGGGGGGGCGGGGAGATGGCTCAG